ACATCAATTCGTACAGGGAGAAATAAGGGTAATCACCCGGCTCCATCTTTCTCACCTGTGAAATGGAATCTCTCCCAACAAAGACTGCTCTATCTACTACTGAACCAGAAGTGGGTCACAAAGGAGACATTCTCCTGGCTTTCTGACATTGGCAATCCAGAACCGATTCTCCATCCAAACATTCCATTCCTATGGATGCAGCCCGGGATCAACATTGGCCTTTTAAAGGTTCTGCGTGGCACTGATGACGCCTAACAAACAACATGACTTGCATATGAACAGTGTGGGTGTGGGAGGGTTTTTGCTTTTTGCACAAACAAACTTTTAAAATAAAAGCCTCAGAGTGTGAGAAATGATTCCCAAACAGACAAAACCTCTTGTAGCTCCATGCAGTGAAGAGGGAACTTTTAAAAAGTACTCTGTTTTGCAAGCACAGTGCCATCAATTAGGGTCTAATCCAGTGTTTCCTAACCTGGGGGTCACAATTGTCATCGAGGGCATCCCAGGCCCCTGCCTTCAAGCTGGTTTGACCTGCAGCGAGGAGTTCCACAGTTCCAAGTTGGGCCAAACTGATGAAATGTGCCCCAGCAGCAGCCTCAACCAGGGACTCTTCCCAGCCATATGCTCTCTCCTTTCACTTCCCTTCCTAGCCCAAACTATGTAACAAATCCCCAAATAAGAATAATCAAATTGCAACTTTAAAACTCTCTAGCTTGATACTTTGTGTCTCTTTTCTTGCCTGGAACTATCCAAGTGCATGAAACTAACCTTCTCCAGACCGCGGGAGACTACAGGCCTGCCCGGGATGCTTTCCTGGCTTTCCGGGGAGACCGAATCTGCGCTCCCCCAAACCGCGGATACGGAAAGCCCCAGGGGCCCCTGTATCCGCGAGATGGCGGATCGACTCCATTTTGATGGCATATTTTTCTTAGCTAAATTCTAACACTATCTGCTATCTCGCTTTTTGCATTTCGGGCTTCTACGCTTGGGGAATAACCTTTTAAGTTTTAAGAATATAATTTCAAGGAAACAGCTGATTGTTAAAAGACCGGCCTCGCTGCTGCTGCGCTGCCGCTGTGCCTCGTCGTTTCTTCACCTCTGCCAAGCCCCTGCCCTGGAGACTCAGTGCGGCTACCCCACGAAGCTTTCGGGGAAGAGCCTGGCCTTGGGGTCCCAGCCCTTAGAAGATTATAGTTTCCCAAGGACCAAGGACCGGCTTGATCTCAGCGCTACAGGAATTCATCCTTTGGCTCAGTGGAAATCACCATGCTCCTTTTGTGACTGTTGGACTTTCTACAAAACATTTTAGACTCTAAGGAACTCATTTTCACATATGAATTTCCCCTGAATGAACTATGGACTCATGTTTTTTCTGAAATTATTACTTTAATCAATTTCTCTGGCGGATGGGATGGGGGGGGGGTGGGGGTGTCTGTTATAAATTTCTTGTGATTCCTATATTTCCCAAGTATTTTCCCTCATATTTCTGACCTGGCCCTGAACCCTTTGCCTCCTTCCCCTCCCCTTGGGGGAAATCAACCAGGAAGCTGCCAGCTGTTCTGAAAAGGCAATCAGCAACCACAAAAGAACTCTTATCTTGATACTTGTGCATGGAAACATAGAACCGAAAGCCTTTGTTTGATTTCGGAGTCGGGCCGTCAGACAAAGGGTTTTGCTTGGCAAACTTTTTATCACTTCACACTGGGGGCAAAAGACCCTCAGAAAGTCTCTTTCCCCCGAAACTGTTTTTTATTCAAAACTCTCCACACGGACATCCACCCCAGCTTCTTCATTGTGTCATATCTGATGGTGACAGGAAAACCTGGATTAAGTAATCATTACTTATCGCAGACCAATCAAAAGACAATAGACCTGGCTTCTTTAGAAGGCCGGTTTCTCGCACTCATGGGCCCCAAGGCATGAAAATCCTATAATCCACTCATGAAAGCATTGTTTCTTCTTTGTCCCGCCTCCCCTCCTCCTGATTCGCCAGAGCGCCGAGGCAGTGGGAGCTTTCTGATATAGTTATGAAGTAGCAACGTAAATATGGTGTGGGAGTTGGAGTTACTGGGATATATAGATCCCCTGCCATCCAAGAGCATTCTGAATTCCAACAAAAATGAAATTGAACCAAACACAGCATACAGCACACAGCAACACCCAGGACCAACAGAAAACACTGGAGAGGCATGGGGAAACTAGACCTTGGCATTTGGGAGTTTCTGGAATGTATAGTTTCCCTGTTATCAAAGAGCATTCTGAACTCCAACAGAAATGGAATTGAACCAAACTTGGCATACAGAAATCCCATGACTAACAGAAAATACCAGAGAGGTTTGGGGAAAATAGACCTTGGCTTTTGGGAGTTCCTGGGATACATAGTTCCCGTGCCATCAAAGAGCATTCTGAACTCCAACAGATATGGAATTGAACCAAACTTGGCATACAGAAATCCCATGACTAACAGAAAATACCAGAGAGGTTTGGGGAAAAATAGACCTTGGCTTTTGGGAGTTCCTGGGATATATAGTTCCCCAGCCATCAAAGAGTATTCTGAACTCCAACAACACTTCAATTGGACCAAACTTGGCCTGCAGCTCCCATGACCAACAGAAAACACTGGAGAGGTTTGGGAAAAATAGACCTTGGCATTTGGGATTTCCTGGGATGTTTAGTTCCCCAGCCATCAAAGTGAGTAAAATAATAAATGTAACAACAACAAAACCAATAAATAATATAAAAACCACCATAGTTTTATTTTAATTACAGTATACATTTTGGGGAAAAGGCTGTGTGTATATGAATGAGAAAAGTGGGACAGACTGACTTGGGAAGGGGGTGGGAAAGAAGGGCTGGAAACAGAAAAAGTTGGAATGGGAAGGAGCATTTGCAAAGGTGGGAAAATGAGGTGGAAAGAGGATAGTTGGAAAAGTAGGTCAGATTGGAGTGGGAAGGGGGCAACTGGGGATGGGGGAAAGATTAAGATGGGAAAGGGGGGATGGAAAGTGGGAAACTACAGTGGGAAAAGAAACAAGACTTGAAATGGGAAAGAGATGCTGGAACCTGGGAAAGGCTGGGAAGGAAAGTGGAGAGATAGGAGCTGGGGAATGGGTTTAGTATAGGAAGGGGAAAACTAGAAAAAGGAAAGGCAAGTGTAAAAAAGGGGTGCTAAAAAAATAGGGGGAAACCTGAGGTGAGAAGGGAGGAAGGTGTCCTCTGGCTCAGCCAAGGAGAGGCAAATCCTGGAGGAAGAAGAGAAGGGACACTGCTGCAGTTCCTCCTCTTCGATAGCCAGTTGGAGAAAGAGAAACAGCAGCAGCTCCCCTTCTCCTCTTCTTCCTTCTCTTGCTCCTCCATGGCCAGCCGTTTATCTTCCGAGCCCAATTTAAGGTGCAGGTGCTTACCTACAAAGCCCTGAACGGTTTGGGACCACCCTACCTGCCGTGACCGCATCTCCACCTACGAACCCACGCGTTCACTTCGGTCATCTGGAGAGGCCCTGCTCATGATCCCGTGCGTCGCAAGCGCGCTTGGTGGGGACTCGAGACAGGGCCTTTTCTGTGGTGGCCCCCCGACTCTGGAACGCCCTCCCTAAAGATCTTAGAAAGGCTCCTACATTGACAGTCTTCAGAAAGAACTTGAAGACCTGGCTGTTCCGATGTGCCTTCTCAGATTAGGAATCTCCAATACCAAGTCCAAAAACACTTTAGTAGAACTAAGATTGCTGCACACCGCACACTGCACTTACTTATAATCCTACATACCTCCTGCCACATCAGCACTTTTAATCTTGTACCCATTACTCTGGCCCGGCCCAGTTTTATAGTGTCTTGATGTATCGTTTATTGTTTGTTGTTCATACTGCTTAACTGTTTTTAATTTGCGTTAGGTATTGTATTGTTGTATTGTGTTTTGAGGCCTTGGCCTATGTAAGCCGCATCGAGTCCTTCGGGAGATGCTAGCAGGGTACAAATAAAGTTATAATAATAATAATAAGAGGGGAAACAGCGGCAGCAGCCCGTGCAGCAGCCTGTGAGGCCTCCACGGTTTCTCCTCTTCTTCCTCATCTTCTTCCTTCATGGCCAGCTGGAGGAGGAGGAGGATTGTTAGGAACAGCAGCAGCAGCGGCATAGGAGCCTCGCCTGGGGGCCCCTGTGCCACCTCTGCCGCTTGTCCTCCTCCTCCATGGCCAGCTGGCTTCAGAGCCTCGCCTCCAGGCTCCGTTGCTGGCTTGACCCGAATATAAGCCGAGGGAGGATTTTTCAGCCCAAAAAGGACTGAAAAACTCGGCTTATAATTGATAGGGTAAACTGGACTAAACTTGGAACACATATTGATATGCTGAGATTTGCTTACTGGAGGGCTATAGGGGGAACTGACCTTTGTTTCTGTGAGTTGTAGTTCACTCACACCAGAGAAATCAACCTCCCCCGATGATGGACCTGGATCAAACTTGGGCAGCAAGAGCCAGCCCATACAGGGAGCCTTCTGCCCGACCCCCGCCCCTTCCAAGCTAACTGAGGTGCTGTGACGACCCCCAGAAAATGGCCCCGCGACCCCCCTGGGGGTCGCGACCCCCAGGTTGAGAACCGCTGACCTAAACTGTTGCAGGAAAACCCCAAAACATATAAAAATGCACCTCTGCAGGCTGTTTGAGGGCAATAGATAGCATACACTAAAAGAGAAAAGGAGTTTATGATGGAGAGTTCCAAAGCGGAGGAAAAACAGAAGGTGTCTAAAGAAACTGGAATGGATGTCTAAGAGACTTTCAACTGAGTTTAGAAGGGGGAAATTAGCAAAGAGGAATTCAAATGAATAGCCAGATTCTATGATTTCAGAACCAAAAAATGTTGATGGGAGGGTAGTCCTCCAACATCTCTTGCGAGAGGCAAGGGGAGGCTAATGCAGTTTCCTAGCTTTCCACTGTCACCAACCCCTGATTCTCATCTCTCCATACAATATAAGTAAAAGACTTGGGTGGGTTACATTTTTTTCATTACCTTTGCATTCCAATCAGTTTCCACTTCTGGAAATCAGTGATGTTCAAGGTAGACACAGCCCAGTGCTTCACAGGCTTGGCGTACGACCCGCAGTTGGGGACGAAGATGGAGAGGGCAGTCACCAGTTTCTCCACAATGGCTTTCTCTTCCCCCAGCACCACCAGCGTCCTGCCGCTCAGCAGAGAATAGATGGCCGGGTGGGCGAAGGGATACTGCCGGATGAAGCGCAGGGCGTTCTGCCCAGCCTTCTTCTTCTGCCGCTCCCCGAAGTGACTTCCACCGCCACAAAGAGGAGACGGAGAGGGCGTCCTGTCCGAGCTGGTGGATGCTGTGCTGCTGATGTAGCTGGTGGAGTCGGAGCATTTATCCAGGCTCATCTTACTCACTTCTCTGTGGCTGGAGTGGTAATGCGGGTCAAGCTCGTAGCCCAGGAGGCCCCCCAAGACACCGTCATGTGAAGAGCAGTCTGTAAAGTTCACCTGGAACCCCAAATCACCTTGCCGAAAGGGCTGGGGAGGGATACTGACCACACCGTCGTCATCCTCGCAATGCTTCGGGGCCAAACCATTTGGCGGCTCGAGAAAGTTGGGACTCTCCTTCCCGATGCAACAAGCTGAGTCCACAGGAAGCTGGTTCCCCAGTTCGAGGTTGCCTTCCACCCCTTCAGGGTCAAAGTGAAGGCCTTCCTCTTCCTCGTCGGCGTAGGTTTCCTCATTAATGGCGCTGGGGTAGCTGGCTTTGAAGTCATCTGGGATCAGGGCTTCCGAGGGGCAGGTGCTAAGGACCTCAATGCTGTCCTCACTGATGGTCCTCCGACTGACTGCTTTGTCCCTCGCCAGCTGAGGACTCGCGTTCGCTTGGGGCAACTGGGCCTGGCTTTCGGCTTGAGCCAAGGCAGACTTCTCTGTCCCCAAAACCTCAATGCTTTCCCCACTGCTGATGCTCCCTTTGAGATCGGCATCAAGATATTCAACATTGTCCTGATCGTCACAAGCGACAGGATCGGCAGCTTCTGTTTCTTGAGGAGCTTCGGTCTTCGGATCCATCTTAATGGGCACAGACTCAACACTGGATTTGTATGAGCCGATTACGGGTTTCAGGAGAGGGCAAACGTCCAAAGATTTCTCACCCGGGTTGTCGGGATGGACTCCCTGGTAGCCATTCAATTGCCTTTCGGGTTCTCTTTCATCCAAAGGGAATATCTCTTCAAAAAGGAAGTTGGTGATACTCTGCTGCTTCAAAAGCGCTCTGCTGATCTGGTGGGTCAAGAGGTAGCACACGTCGCCTCTGAACGTCTTCTCAATCTGGTGCAGCTGATCCAGCGTCTGTGTGAAAAAATACACATCACAAAGTTCCTGAAGGGTTTTGAGCTTCTTGTCAAAGCATTTGGCCGATTTGGCCTTGATAAGTTTCGGGGTGTAAGAAGACCGCCGAGAATAAAGGTGTGTTTTTCTAGGTTCGTCAGGTTTCGAGGTAGTAAATCCTTGTTGCTCTGATTCTTCATCGGCTGGCTCATTTGCACACTCTGGCTCATAAGGGTGGAAGTCAGAATCTTTCAGCTTACTGTAGGGATAGGATCGGATTTGCTTCAAAAGATCCTGATGCTCAATTATGGATTTTTCGACGCTGGCCAGTTCGTTGGCTTTCTCGATGGCCTGCGTGGTGTAATACCCTTTTTCGTTGTTTTTCTTCTGGATCTCTGTCTCTTTGTGCAAAACTGTCCTGGTGTAATCAAGGTCCTTGAGCTTTTTTTCCAGTTCATTGGCAAAAGCTTTCCGGTTGCCTGTCTTCAGGCATTCAGAAGCTTTGGAGAACTCTGCAGAGAGCTCCTGGAACATCAGCATGATTTTGTGCTCGTCGGCGGAGATGTAGGCCATGCAGAATGGCCGGACAAAACCCCGGGCTTCAAGGTCGTACAGGGTCAGGTGGTGGACGTAGGCGAAGGCCCCTTCCTTGGAGTCGCCCAGCACCACTTTCGAGTCCTCCACAAAGTTCAGCTTGGGGTAAGGACATCCTGGCGGGTGGCCCACGAAGGAGGCCTGGTAATCCACCGACATGATGCGGAGGGAAAAGTAGTTGAGATCGAAGGTGCCGGAGACTTTGGCGTCATCCGGGATGGTGAGCAGCGGCTGGGGCCCCACTTGCTCTGAGAATTCGGAGATGAGGATGAAGTCCCGGGTGAACTTGGCTCCTGAGAGCTTGGACCAGGGGTTGGCTCCCTGGCTGGCGAAGGGGAAGAGCGGCACAGAGTACTCCTCAGGGAGAGCCGGCTCGCTACTGCTGTAGGCCTCCTCTTCGTACTCATCCTCCTTGGTGAAGGCCACCACGTCTGGTGCACTGATCATATTTCCAGAGGCAAGGAGAGTGGCGCCTCAATTGGAATCCATCGACTGAAGGCACAATGAAAGGAGTGAGTCTTTCTGGTCCTCTGTCAATTTGTCAATCCCCACTCACTTTAACCTCCCTCAACTAAGAAGGGATTGTTACCTTGGGATCCTAAATTATCTCCCCTTTGCCACTCTCAAAAAGGGAAGCCATTGCCAACAAAAGGAATCCTCTCAGTCCTATATTTGCATCCCCACTGACTTTAACATCCCTCGACTGATAGTGGGATTGTTACATAAAGGACCCTAAATCATGCCCCTTTTGATCAACAAGACAGGAGCCACCATACTTATTTCCTAGTTTCCTCCACACTTAGGGGACCCTATTGCACTCACCCTCTTTTAACCCCTTTCACTCAGGGGTCCTTTTGCTCTCCACTGAAGGAGCCAGCCCTCTGCGGAGTCTAAAGAGGCAAAAGGATCCCCAGCTATAGAGCTAGCAAGACTAAAGGGTCAAAAGCTGTGAGTTTAGCGAGGCCAGTAGGGCAACAGCACCCTAGTTGGGGAGTCAAGGAGCAGGGTCTCTGGTTATGGGGCTATTGAGACCTTGCTGTAGAGCTCTTGAGGCCAGTAGAACAACAGGGTCCTAATTGTGTGGCTATTGAGGCAACAGGGACCTTGCTATGGGAATATGCCAGAGATCCCTTGCTATGGAGGCAAGGGGCCCCAAACTATTTGGCTAGAGATGCAAGAGAGTCCCCCTGGCTATGAGGTCATGGAGCAAAGAGGGTCTATTAAGGCAAGATGGGCCTGGGCTATAGGAATATGAGGCCAGAGATCCCTGGCTATGGTGTTAGTGAAGCAAGAGGATCCTTAATGTGGGGCTGGAGGTGCAAACGAGGACCCGGCTATGGAATTTATGGGGCAAAGTAGTCTCTACTTGTGGGGCTATTACAACAAGAGGGGCCTTGGCTATGGGGATATGAGGCCAGAGATCCCTGGCTATGAGGTTAGCAAGGCAAGAGGAGCCTTAATGTGGGGCTGGTGGTGCAAAAGGGATTTATGGGGCAAAAGGGTCCCTATTTGTGGGGCTATTACAACAAGAGGGGCCTTGATTATGGGGATATGAGCGCAGAGATCCCTGGCTACGGGGTTAGCAAGGCAATGGGGTCCTTAATGTGGGGCTGGAGGTGCAAGAGGGACCCTGGCTTTGGGATTTATGGGGCAAAGGGGTCCCAACTTGTGGGGCCTTGGCTATGGCAATATGTGGCCGGAGATCCCTGGCTATGAGGTTAGCAAGGCAAGAGGATCCTTAATGTGGGGCTAGTGGTGCAAAAGGGACCCCAACTATGGAGTATATGGGGCAAAGGGGTCCCAACTTGTGGGGCTATTACAACAAGAGGGGTGTTGGCTATGGGGATATGAGGCCAGAGATCCCTGGCTATGGGGTTAGCAAGGCAATAGGGTCCTTAATGTGGGGCTGGAGGTTGGCTATGGGGATATGAGGCCAGAGATCCCTGGCTATGGGGTTAGCAAGGCAATAGGGTCCTTAATGTGGGGCTGGAGGTGCAGAAGGGATTTATGGGGCAAAGGGGTCCCTATTTGTGGGCCTATTAAGGCAAGAGGGGCCTTGGCTATGGGGTTAGGGAGGCAAGAGGGGTTATTGAGACAGATGATCCAGAGCAATGGGGCTAGTGAGAGCAGAAAAGCCTAGCTGTGGGGCAACTGAAGCCTGGGATTATGGAGGCTATGGGGCGAGTGAAGCCAGGGACTATGGAGGCTATGGGGTGATGAAAGGAAGGGGATTACTGAGACCAGAGATCCCTGTCTATGGGGCTTTGGAGGCAAGAGGATCCTTAATATGGGGCTAGCGATGGGAGAGAGATGCTGGCTATGGGGCTATGAAAGGCTCAGCTTCCCCCCTTCCCTCTTGCTTGGTTGAGGTTTTACCCTTCCTGGGGAATGGGCCTCCCTTCTCTCCCTCCCAGTCCCGAACCCGGCAAGCGCTAGGACCGGCCCGGGAGCCCTCCCTTCTCGCCTGCCTTCCTCTGCGAGGAACCGCCGCTTCCCCTTCACGGCCGCGTTCGCCGCTGCTGCCTGGCAGCCATCTTGGAATCACATGACCTTCGCGGAGGTGACGCGGGTGACGTCACTCCCAGGTGCCGTAAAGCAAGCCAGAGCCGAGTGTAAACAAACCGCTTTTCCCTCCACGTGTGTACGACAGCTGGGCCGGCGCGGAATACGGCAGTGAAGCGGGAAATCTGTCTGTGGAGAAGGAAGGGAAGGGAGAAGGAGAAGGACAGCCTTGGGAAGCGGAAAGGAGGCATTCAATCGGGCCTGGCCTCAATTTAGGGAGGCCCCAAAAGGAATAGGCCCCAAAGGAGAACCTGTGGAGGCAGAAGAGGGAGGGACCCAGCCCAGTGGCCTTGGAAACTGAAGCTGGCAAGGAAAGCTCATTTGGGTAAATATATGTGCATTAGGTGGTTGTAGGTTTTTTCGGGCTATATGGCCATGCTCTAGAGGCACTCTCTCCTGACGTTTCGCCTGCATCTATGGCAAGCATCCTCAGAGGTAGTGAGGTCTGTTGGAACTAGGAAAAAGGGTTTATATATCTGTGGAATGACCAGGGTGAGACAAAGGACTCTTGCCCCATAAATACCATAGCCAGGCCCCCTCTTACACCTCCAGCCCCCCATTAAGGATCCTCTTGCCTTGCTAACCCCATAGCCAGGGATCTCTGGCCTCATATCCCCATAGCCAAAGCCCCTCTTGTTGTAATAGATAGGTTCTTGTGGGTTTTTTCGAGCTATAGGGCCATGTTCTAGAGGGATTTCTCCTGACGTTTCGCTTGCATCTATGACAAGCATCCTCAGAGGTAGTGAGGTCTGTTGGAACTAGGAAAAAGGGTTTATATATCTGTGCACCACCAGGCCCACATTAAGGATCTTCTTGCCTTGCTAACCCCATAGCCAGGGATCTCTGGCCTCATATCCCCATAACCAAAGCCCCTCTTGTTGTAATAGCCCCACCAGTTGGGACCCCTTTGCCCCATATATCCCATTGCTGGGGTCCCTTTTGCCCCACCAGCTCCACATGAAGGATCCTCTTGCCTTGTTAACCCTACAGCCAGGAATCTCTGGCCTCTTATTCCCATAGCCACCTCCAGCCCCACATTAAGGACCCCATTGCCTTGCTAACCCCATAGCCAGGGATCTCTGGCCTCATATCCCCATAGCCAAGGCCCCTCTTGTTGTAATAGCCCCACAAGTAGGGACCTCTTTGCCCCATAAATACCATAGCCAGGCCCCCTCTTACACCTCCAGCCCCACATTAAGGTTCCTCTTGCCTTGCTAACCCCATAGCCAGGGATCTCTGGCCTCATATCCCCATAGCCAAGGCCCCTCTTGTTGTAATAGCCCCACAAGTAGGGATTCCTTTACCCCATATATCCCACAGTTGGGGTCCCTTTTGCACCTCCAGCCCCACATTAAGGATCTTCTTGCTTCACTAACCCCATAGCCAGGGATCTCTGGCCTCATATCCCCATAGCCAAGGCCCCTCTTGTTGTAATAGCCCCACAAGTAGGGATCCCTTTACCCCATATATCCCACAGTTGGGGTCCCTTTTGCACCTCCAGCCCCACATTAAGGATCTTCTTGCTTCACTAACACCATAGCCAGGGATCTCTGGCCTCATATTCCCATAGCCCAGGCCCATCTTGCCTTAATAGACCCTCTTTGCACCATAACCTCATAGCCAGGGGGTCTCTCTTGCATCTCTAGCCAGATAGTTTGGGGCCCCTTGCCTCCACAACAAGGGATCTCTGGCATATTCCCATAGCAAGGTCCCTCTTGCCTCAATAGCCACACAACTAGGACCCTGTTGTTCTACTGGCCTCAAGAGCTCTACAGCAAGGTCTCAATAGCCCCATAACCAGAGACCCTGCTCCTTGACTCCCCAACTAGGGTCCTGTTGCCCTACTGACCTCGCTAACCCCACAGCTTTTGACCCTTTAGCCTTGCTAGTTCTATAGCTGGGGATCCTTTTGCCTCTTTAGACTCCGCAGAGGGCTGGCTCCTTCAGTGGAGAGCAAAAGGACCCCTGAGTGAATGTTTCAACTGAGCACCTTGATTAGCATTTGATGGCCTGGCAGTGCCTGGGGCAATCTTTTGTTGAGAGGTGATTAGCTGTCCCAGATTGTTTCCCCTTTGCTGTTGTAATTTCAGAGTTTTTTAATACTGGTAGCCAGATTTTGTTCATTTTCATGGTTTCCTCCTTTCTGTTGAAATTGTCCACATGCTTGTGGATTTCAATGGCTTCTCTGTGTAGTCTGACATGGTGGTTGTGAGAGTGGTCCAGCATTTCTGTGTTCTCAAATAAAATGCTGTGTCCAGGTTGGTTCATCAGATGCTCTGCTATGGCTGACTTCTCTGGTTGAAGTAGTCTGCAGTGCCTTTCATGTTCCTTGATTCGTGTTTGGGCAATGCTGCGTTTGGTGGTCCCTATGTAGACTTGTCCACAGCTGCATGGTACACGGTAGACTCCTGCAGAAGTGAGAGGATCCCTCTTGTCCTTTGCTGAACGTAGCATTTGTTGGATTTTCTTGGTGGGTTTGTAGATTGTTTGTATGTTGTGTTTCCTCATCAGCTTCCCTATGCGGTCAGTGGTTCCCTTGATGAATGGCAGGAACACTTTTCCTCTGGGTGGATCTTCATCTGTACTCTCGTGGCTTGTTCTTGGTCTTGCAGCTCTTCTGATGTCTGAGGTGGAGTATCCATTGGCCTGGAGAGCCCAGTTGAGGTGGTTCAGTTTATCTTGGAGGAGGTGGGGTTTGCAGATTCTTTTTGCACGGTCTGCCAAGGCTTTAATGGTGCTTCTTTTTTGACTTGGGTGATGGTTGGAGTTTTTATGTAGATATCTATCTGTGTGTGTGGGTTTGCTGTAGACGGTGTGACCCAATTGTTGATCTGGTTTGCGGATGACTAGAACATCTAGAAAAGGCAGTCTTCCTTCACTTTCTTTTTCCATTGAATTGGATTTTTGGGTGGATGCTGTTAAGATGGTCCAGGAACCTGTTGAGTTCTTCTTCTCCATGGCTCCAAATGGTAAAGGTGTCATCCACATATCTGAACCATATCGTGGGCTTTTTGGTTGCTGTCGCCAGGGCTTGTTTTTCAAAGTGTTCCATGTAGAAGTTAGCTATGACCGGGCTGAGAGGGCTCCCCATAGCTACTCCATCTTTGTGTAGATAGTTTGTATGTTGTGTTTCCTCATCAGCTTCCCTAGCTTGGGTACCCGGTGATGCCTGGGTTATTTGAAAAAAAGCATTGTTTGTTTTGGGGTGTCAGGTAATATCATTTAGTTAATTAGTAACATTGTTTATTAGGAAAAAGCCAGAATGTTATTTTGTTTTTCATGAACGCTCCAAATAGAAAATACAGAACAATGTGGGTTAACTACAATTCCCAGAATCATGGGTCAATCCTCCCCAAACCAGGCCTGTATGTACAGTTGGCCATGTTGGATCTGTGTGCCAAATTAGGTCCAGATTTGTCGTCGACTGGGTTTATCGCTCTCTGGATGATGATGATGATGATAATAATAATAAACTTTATTTATACCCCGCCACCATCTCCCCAAAGGGGATTCAGGGTGGCTTACATGAGGCCAAGCCCAGTAGTGCATACAATGCAATAACATAAAAAGCATAAAATAATATCACAACAAAATGAAACAAGCATAAAATACATTAAACAGAGCAAAGTAATGCAATAAAATCAAACACAGTCTCAATGAGCAGGCCACATGTGCAAGAAACAGTGAAAAAAACAGGATGAGATAGAAATAAAACATACATTTGTAAGGGAAACTCATAAACAGGATAGTGGAGAAAGTCCTTCATATGGGCAGGAGGCAGTGAAATATGAGGGCACCCATTTTTTGAGGGAGAATGAACAAAATGGAATGTAAAATCACTCTCCAAAAGCGCAATGGAAAAGCCAAGTTTTGAGGGTCTTTTTGAAAGTTTCTAGGGTGGGGGCTTGCCTAATCTCGCTGGGCAATGCTTTCCAGAGTCGGGGGGCCATGGAGGAGAAGGCTCTCTCCCTTGTTCCCGTAAGTTGGGTCTGTGATAATGGAAGGGGCGGAAGGAGGGCCTCCCCCGAAGAGCAAAGCGATCAGGCAGGGTTGTGAGAGGATATATGATCACGAAGATAGGTGGGTCCCAAACGTTTAGGGCTTTATAGGTGATGACCTGTACCTTGAATTGGGACCGGAAAATAAACGGCAGCCAATTGAGCTCTTTGAACAGGGGGGTTGATAGCTCCCTATAATTTGCCCCCATTATTAAGGGTGAACTACAACTCCCAGATTCCCAGGCTAAGCATCCCCAAATCACTGGCTGCCAGTCTGCTACTGAGCACAATTCAAAGTTCTGGCTTTAGCCTATAAAGCCCTAAATGGTTCTGGCCCTGCTTATCTGTCCGAACGTAACTCTCCTTATGAACCATCTAGGAATTTAAGATCTACTGGGGAGGCCCTGCTCTCGGTCCCACCTTCTTCACAGATTCAGTTGGCGAGGACGATAGGGTCTTCTCAGTGGTGGCCCCTCGGCTGTGGAACGCCCTCCCTAGGGACATTAGATTGGCCCCCGGCCTCTTAATATTTCATAAAAAAGTCAAAACCTGGTTTTGCGAGCAGGCTTTCTCAAATGCAGTGTAGCAGATAACTTCTTGACCTTGGAACGACCGAACAATTTTGATCGGATAACAATTTTGGTATTGAGATGCTTTTATGCTTTTATTGATTTCACTGTTTATGGAATTTTATGTATTTTATATGCTTTTAACTGGTTTTATATTATTGTGGCATCGAATTGTGCCATTTTGTAAAGTGCCCTGAGTCGCCCTCAGGCTGAGAAGGGCAGTATAGAAATATAGTAAATAAATAAATAAATAAATAAATAATTATTATTATTATTAGGGGCACAGGAAAGCCTGCTTTTCTCAATAGATAAACATTTTATATGAAGGCTTTATCAGGGGATTAAAGGTTATGGAAAGAAGATGAATGAATGAGGAGAAAGCAAGGGAAGGAGACTGGAACTGAAGGGAAGGTAGATACAAGCTTGTTTTTG